ACTTACGTTACTACGTACCGTACGTACGTACGTACGTACGTACTATATATATATATATATATATATATATATATATATCCACGTATATATATACACGTGTGTATGTATGTATACGCACGTCATCTCACGAACTGGCGCATAGCGTTCTAATAAACATGCCGCTCACGTACGAATATCGCAAATGTCACGTCAATCATGTATACGCGTGTATCAAATATCTTATTCCTATATATATATATATACATATATACATATATATGTATATATGCATATATACATAGGACGTTCATGAATGACCTTTACAGCTTCAAACCGCATTAGAACAATAAAACACGGATGAACGGAAAGACAATTGCGCGGTGGGTTGCTGTGCATGGAGCAACGTATCATCACTGCATATCGACAAGATCAGAGACTGTAAAATCGGTAGCGCTATATTTAAACATGTATAGCGCTCCTCTAACCAGACACCATTAACGGCGGGGCGGGGTACGTGCCACACTGGGGGTGTGGCAGCGATCGAGCGGCTGCGTTAACACGTTCTTCCAATCAATGAAGTGGGGCGGTACATTATGAATGCATGGTCTCCGCCGGACATCACCCCAACATTGATTCCATTTCACTGGGTTTACATGACGAATCACGTGCGTGTTGGCAAGGAAGCTCGCCGATGTTGCGCACAGGATTGCACGGCCGCCGTCCCGTCACCACTGTTAAAACAATATGGCCGCCACCAAACCTAGGGCCCGTTGTCAGAAACAAAATTAGTCTTAACATTAGTCTTAACATTAATATTAGGCGTAAGTGTTATCTTAGCATTAACATTAACATTAACTTTACGATGTTTCTGACAACGGCCCCCTGGGCCAGAGCATATGAAGTAGCATCTCGACTCGTCACACAGGACAGGTGGCGCTCACGTCTACGGATCTCTGACGTATCGTAGGTTTATAATAGCTATTTGTTCAGATGCAGCTCCAGTACCATCGTTATACTGCATACATTCATTTGTTCTACATTATGGTTTGAAATAACAATAAAGATACTTCTTAAACAGCGTGTATTTACATGTATACCTACGCGCTGTTCACAACGGTAGGGTTCATTGGTATTCTTTTCAAGAGCCCACGAGTAACATTAAACCCGATGTCTTTTAATATCGCCGTATATATATATATATATATATATATATATGTATATATATATATTGCATGTAGTTGTTCTTACTTAATATTAAAGCATTATGCCGAGTAGATGAAAGTTACCACAACTATCACATATCATGTATATAGAATATAATCTATTAATAGAGATATATCTCCATTTTTCATTGCAAATAATATTTACAAGCGTGCGATATGCGTCGCAGATCCGTTTAGAATAACTTTGATGTCAATCTGCAGTTATAATAATGAAAGGTCATTTGCTAAAAGTCAGTAGGGTTTCCTCGGCATTTTTTACCAAGTTACTTCTGGTTATTATTTATATTTTATCATTTAGATTGACAGAATAAAGAATTGCAACTGTCAAACGTAATGTATGATGTATCCCATTTAAGGGAAGTAAAAACACATTGTAGTTGTAGTTCTCGTTTGCAAGATTGTACGGCATATATACGATATACGGCATAAGCTCGGCATATATAAGAAGGTAACAATTTACACAATAATTTATATTACATGAGGCCAGCGCTATACATACAACCAGCAGTCTCAGTTACCTCCGTCTTATATATATATAAATTCCACCGCGCGCTCGCCTCTTTACGCATGGTATACACGCGCCAAAAATACATAGTTTGTAACACCAATCCATTTACACGAACGTCCCAGGCGACAAAGAAATTGTCAAGCTTCATTTATTACTCTCATTACACGTAATCAGCTTGGAATCATGCACGTTATCTATATAACTATACAACATCGGATGTGCGCAAGAGACAAACGGTGGGTGTACGAATGCGTGGCTCTCGATTATTTTAACGGCCGCCGATATTCGTTAAAACTATGACCGGAGAAAAAAAGGCAATCAGTAAACGGATTGCAGATTTCGTGATAAAATTGCAAAATGCGATAAGGTTTATAGCTATGACAACAAGCGACAGCTGTGTCGATGGTACAACCGGGACGTGAGACGAGGGCGTGACTTCTTATAATCGGAGGGGACATAACACAGCGTCATATATATTCTAGTGTCACGCAATATATAGCACTAATGTTTACAATATTGTGACGCGCATACGTGCATGCTATGTGCGTTCGAGAATCTGTCTGTATCTGTGTGTATGCGTGAAAACGTGCGTATGTGCGACTGCCTATAGTTGTAAATGTGTCCGTATGTATTATATGTACATGCGTGCGTGCGTGCGTCAGTGATTATGGGGTATGCGTACGCGCGTACCCGCGCATTGCGCATCCCAGCATGGCAGCGACTAAACCAACCCCATTAATCAGCGAGGCGAAATTTACGTGCAGGCCATACAACTGTTGCATCGCGAGATTGAATCCTATGAATCATATTCGTGGCCAGTCAGTTGTACAGCCAAGCCATGGCGTCACAACTACATGGCTCCGGCATGCAGCGTGACTCACCGATGACATCGACAAGGACGATCGATACCCGATGACGGCCTTTTACTTACTGTGTGCGCCAGGAGGAGGTGAGAGAGAAAAATAGAGAACAGAAGAGAGAAAGGGGGTACGAGGTACGAGGTACGAGAGCGAGAGAGAGAGAGAGAGAGAGAGAGAGAGAGAGAGAGAGAGAGATAGAAAGAAAGAGAGAGAGAGAGAGGAGAGAGACGGGAGAGATGAGGGCGAACGAAACACAGCTAGCCAGCTATGTAGCTAGATAAACAGCTAGCCAGCTATGTAGCTAGATAAACAGATAGACAAACAGGCAGACGGACAGACGAACAGACAGAGAGACAGACAGACGGACGGACGGACGGACAGACAGACAGAAAGACGGACCGACAGACAGAATGGATGGATTGATGGATAGATGGATGAACAGGTAGTAACAACGCGAGGGAGAATGACTTGGACATCGCGAAGAAGGTACAAAATTCTATTTAGATCCAGTTATTCCAGTTTATTCGTCTGCGATTCAAACACGTATGTTATGTTACACTCGACCGTAAGCGCGTATACGTAAACGATGGTAAAGTGGAGAATATCTATGCAAAATAATAAAGAAATAGTTAATAGCGCTATGCCATCAACATAGTACATTTACAGCGTGAACGAATTTGCCATATGATTTGGCGGTATGGTAAACTAGACAGCTAGTCAGACGCTGGACTTGTGACATTATCCGACAGTTATACTCGCGATTTAGGAAACGAGTGAGGGTTAGTTACGCAGTAGCTGCAAACGCTGCCACGGATATGTGATCACGTGTGCATGTCATATCTGGATGATAGAATAAACGCGTGGGTAAATTCAACGCAAACAACTGGGTGTAATATAATGCCCCGTGTCTGCGTACTAAACCAACAGTAGATGGAACAACCCCTGCATACGCATGCTTACACGTTGGAAACAAAGTGGTCTCTGCCATATAAATTCATTGTATACATATATATCAGAAGCTAATAATGGCAAATTTATCATTATTAGCTCCTGATATATATATATATATATATATATATATATATATATACGTGTGTGTGTGTGTGTGCGTGTGCGTGTGCGTGTGCGTGTGCGTGTGCGTGTGCGTGGGCGTGCGCGTGCGCGCGTGTGTCCTAGAGTCCCTGTATACAGACCTCTGTATATAGGGACCCTAGTGTGTCCGTGCGTGCGGGCGTGCGTGAACGTGTGTGTGTGTGCCTGCGGGAGTACATGTGTGTGTATAGATAGATATAGCTAGCATTGCTTGGCACATCACCATTACGGATTTATATATTACTTGATGTACGAAGACCGACCTGGGGCAGGATGCAGCGTGGCGGGGAACGGGAGGAGGGGGAGGAGCACATACAACAGCACAGCCACGTCTCGAGATCGCTACTCTTGCACGTATCTCTCATCTACTGCTTTACTAATGAATTGTTGCATTAATTCATATGTGAAGCCACCTGCCAATGAGATTAGACTGTCGCGCCGGGCTTTTTAATTTACGATTTAATTAGCTGTTTAGTCGCGTCACTATACTAGTGCTGATATACCTTGCAAGCTGTTTTTACTGCATGGCTAATTTATTTGCGCGTGTGCAAGCGTGCTTGCCTAGACATGCGTGTGCGTGTATGTGTACGCGAGTGTGTGTGTGCGAGTGTGTGTGCGTGCGTGTATGTGTGCGCGAGTGTTTGTGCGTGCATGTATGTGTCTGTGTGTCTCGCTCTCTCCTTCTCGTTCTCTCTCCGAGAGAACGGAGGTGGGAGAGATGAGAAGAGAGAAAAACGGAGGCGGGACGCGCGCACGTTCGTACTGTCACATGAAATATTTATCAGCGAGACATTCAGCACTCGGCTTCGCCGGTTGAAATGCGCTTCACTCGAGGCTATAATAAACACCAATATATAACGCCACATCACTATTCTAAGAATACACAAATTGGAACCATACCATGATAGCAGCCTCTTGCAGCTGCTATAGGTTGCGGGATTGGATTAAACAGTTTTCTCCTGCGTGATATCGTCGCGTGATAAAAAGTTTAAATCCTTATTCGCACTTTGGCGGATGTAATATACGAATAATAAAGCCTTGGCGAGTCTGTCTACCACGTTTAAATCCTAACAATGTGGTTAAGCAGCTTTATGCGCCGTGGCACTAGAATTATTTTTTATAAAACACGTACCCGCAAAAGTATGCGATGTACGTTCCCTCTAACGGGGCGCGCGCAGGCATTTAGCGACGCGACACTGCACATTAAAAGTGCAAATGAGGATATGCAATGTTTATTTACACTGCATTCATAAACAGATCCTCTGATTCTAATTAATCTCACACGTCACCATGCCACAAATATCTTTCGACGGAAATGATCTGGTTGCTGATAAGAATTTCCAGATTCGTTTATAACAACGTGCGACGCTGTTAAACGTAAAGCGTTGGTAACGTAAACGTTAGAGATGGCATGAAAAGGCATGCAAATGGAAAACCATCGATCGATCCTTACGTACGTACGTATCCGCCATTTCTCCCATTCCTACGTTATATTCATCACAAAACAAGGACTCTATATTATCACATAATTTCATTAACAAAAGTACGAAAATATCTGCATCAAAGAAAGGAAACTGTGGGTGTTCGTTACACGTACAATTCTTTTTAAATATATACGGAAATTATGACGATCTCGGCCCAAAGCATCCTCCTCTACGTTCATCCATACCCAAACATTACCTCTAATATTCCGTATTTTCCGTTTCGGGCCAAGATTGCCCGTAGATGCTTGCGCTTTATTGTGAAACAAACATCAAGAAGAGTGTCATGTTAAGTGAAATTTGCCGACGAAAGGTGGGAGGGAGTTAGTGGGCGGTTGGGTAGATCTGAGTTCACGAATTAACCGAACCTGGAGCCAGCGTTTTCGTGGCGCCGACTCCTACGCCCTTCATATTGTGTGCAAGAGGAGGGCATCACTCCTTCAGTCGGTGCCACTCGGCGATCTGCCGACGAGGAGAGTTGCAGATCTCGTTCCAGTGCCGCAGTGCGTTGCCCGTCGACTTCGGTCCGATTACCAACCGCCCAATGACCTGCAGAAAGTAGGAAAACGTGAAAATCAAGTGATCTCTCTCTCTCTCTCTCTTTCTCGCCACCTTTCTCTTGCTCTTTCTTTCTATATCTACCTATCTATCTAAATCTCTGTCCCTATAATACCTATATATATATGTATATGTATATATATATACAGACATACACACACGCACACACGACCACACACACACACACACACACACACACACCACACCCACACACACACACACCAACACACACGCACACGCACACGAACAACGACACGCACACGCACACGCCTACTACCACACGCACACGCATCACCGCACACGCAACCACACGCACACGCACTACGCAACACGCACACGCACACGCACACGCACACGCACAGCACACGCACACGCACACGCACACGACACGCACACGCACACGCACACGCACACGCACACGCACAATCACACGCACACGCACACACACAGACACACGCACGCACGCACGCACGCACGCACGCACGCACGCACGCACACACCCCCCACCACACACATATATATATATATACAAATATATTATATATACTGAAAACAAACTATCATTGCATTTTTGAGTTTATAAATGCAGATCGGAATCTAGAGAAGTACAATAGCGTGTTACTGGTGTGTCTACCGCCTCAATATTATTGCAACATTCTCTTGAGGGTTTTTACGCTGCTATGTGCATGATACAATGCTTTTAGGCCGTCCTCACGCGTCTTCCCTGTCAATATTTTCTTAAGTTTCTTATGAAATTCGAAATAAAATAAATCCGTCGCATTAAACAGTCAACACTATGAATGCGTTTGCGCGTTTATGCGTATGTGCGGGTGCGTGTACGTACGTGTGTACGTACATATATACTCGCATCAATGTTAGTTACTAATCTAGAAGTCAGCCTCTGTCAACAGAATACAGTATGAATAAAGTGATGATGTTCATTCTATCTCGATAGTGTAACCGTAAGCTTTTAACCCCGCATTGCTCACCTCATTCTTAGTGACTCGGTCCCAGTCGAGGATCAGGAACTCTAAGCTAATATTCTGCAGGCCCTCGGTGGCAGGCACGTCGAAGAGAAACGACTCGTTGAATACGGGGTTCAGCGTGCGTTTCTTTACGTGCGTCTTCTTCTTCGCGATGCGCTGTCCATTGTACAGCATGTAGATCTTCACGTACGGGTCTAAGGAAATCACAGAAAAAATTTTGCATCCCAAATCTGAAATATATATCCCCTAGTAGTAAGCCGGTCGGAGGCGATCACGCGTAGTCTAAGCTACTTATCTCGAAGTTTTGCCTGGAAATACACGAGGCGAGAAACAGGAGGTGAGAAGACGGTTCCTGCGTCTCTCTAGAATAACGAGTCACGTAGATGGCTTTATGCGAAATGACATTCGTCAGGCTCCTACAGACTATAACTTCACGCTACACGGTGTATTTTTCGAAAATGACAGATCGAATAGTATACGCATCTGCAATGTTTGATATCAGGCTTTTATACGTGAACGCATATTGACGAAGAGAAACATGTGTGCACGTCACACTGCACACAGACACACACACACACACACACACACACACACACACGCGACGCGACGACGACGGTACGGCCCAAACCAGGACCCGGGCGCTGCCACGCACCCCCCTACACGCACTCATGAACACACATACACACACATACACACACATACACACACATACACACACATACACACACATACACACACATGCACACGCAAGCATCACGTACATAGACATATAAATTCCAAACGCCCAGTCTTTCGTCGATGATCGATAACTATCTATGACGATTTTTTGCTCATAGATCCGATGCCAGAACAGAGGAGAGTTGCTGGTATCGCTCTGCTACCAACCAGCTGCCAACAGGCTTACCACAGTAGTCCTGAAAGCTCGCAACCTCCCAAAGATGGACCTTACTGGACTTAGCGGTGAGTATGGATATAGACTGCCAATTGAATTTCTACAAACTCCTATAATGTGTGCTTTTATGCGCGTGTGCGTTCGTGCGATTACTCGTGTTTGCGTGCGCGTGTGCATGTGCGTGTGCGAGTGCGTTTCGGTGTGCGCATTTCGAATCTATCAACTGATTTTCTATAGATTCCTTCAACGTTGGTTGTGCGTGTGTATGTGTGTGTGTATCTGTGTGTATGTATGTGCATGTGTGCGTTGCTGTCTGTGGTGTTGCGTGCGTGCGTGCGTGCGTGCTGCGCGCGCGCGCGTATGTGTGTGTGTGTGCTGTGTGTGTGAGTGTGTGCTGTGTGTGTGTGTAGTGTGTGTGTGTGTGTGTGCTCGCGTATGCGCTGCTGCGCATTTCGAATCTATCAACTGATTTTCTAATAAATTCTTCAACCTTGCGTGTGCGTACGTGTGTATGTGTGTGTGTATCTGTGTGCTGGGTTGTGTGTGTGTCGTCTGCGTGGGTGCGTGGCATGGTGCCGTGCGTGCGTGCCTGCGTGCCGGGGCGCGTGCCGTGCGTACGCTGCGCTGTCCTGTGCGGTGCCGTGCGGTGGCGTGTGTGTGTGTGCATGTTGTGTGTGTGTGTGCTGATGCTGTGCTGTGACCGTTATGCGCGTGTGCGCATTTCGAAATCTATCAACTGTATTTCTATACAATTCTTCAACCTGCCGTGTGCGTGTGTTATGTCGTGTGTGTGTGTGTGTGTGTGTGTGTGTGTGTGTATGTGTGCGTGCGTGCGCTGCGTCGTTGATGCTAGTGTAGGCCGCGTGGATTGTGGTGTTGGTGCTGTGGTGTGTTGTAGTAGTGTGTGTATGTGCTGTGTTGTGTGCGTGTGTGTGCACACACATCACACAC